AGGGGAGAGAGAGAGAGAGAGAGAGAGAGAGAGAGAGAGAGAGAGAGAGAGAGAGAGAAGCCAAGGTTTCTGACTTGAGCAAGATGGAAAACAACTGCCATTTACCAACATGGAGAAAGCAAGCAATGCAGTGAGTTTCAGTAGGAGAGTTTGTGACTGGCTATGTTTGTGATGCTTATCAGCCATCCAGCTAGAGTATGGATCAAGATATAGGAATGTAGAAAAGAGGTATGGAATAGAGATAAAGATTTGGCTATGGGTTCAAACCCATTTCTAAACAAACAAAAAATTGGTGTCAGCAGGTATACAGGGTTTGAAATCATAGGACTGAAGACATGACGTTGACCTAGCAAGTGGGAGTAAACTGAGATAAAAAAAAAAAAATGCCAGGAGCCAGCTTTGGGTCCTGTGATATTTAAAGATTGTGGACACAGGAAGAAACAGCCAGGAAGTTGGAGGAGAGGGCAGGGAGGTCCGGGAGAACGGCAGGGAGATGGAGACCACAGGAAGGACTGTTTTTGAATCCTAATGAGAAAAGTGTTTACAGGAGGGTGGGGCGATTGGATCGGTCCAGTGTAACTGCTGGCTGTAGTAAACATGAGGACAGAGAGGGGGTCTTTGGATTCAGCAACATGGAGTCCACTGGGGAGTCTGGCAATGGTAGTTTTATGAAACTGTGAGTGCAAACTTGATTGGAGGAAGTTTAAGAGAACAAGGGAGGAGAAGAATTGGAAGTTGAGGCTAGGAAAATGCAGAAAAGAGTGGCAATCAACTCTAACCTTGTTCCTTTAACTTGTCTCCTCCTCTTTCCTAGCCTGCCATTTTCCACTTCTCCATCAGCTGGTCATTTTACTTAGCATGCTCGTGTAATGATGCCTTGGCTCAGTCAGTTGGCGAGCCCTCAAACCCGGGCTTGATCTCCCCACCCCAACTCTGCCTCCAGTTGGACGGGCAATGGCTTCCTCCTTCAGATCTCCTGTCCCACTTGTGCAGGCTGTCTTCCCCTTCAACTGGCAACAGTTCTTGTGCAAGAGAGGGGCAACATGTACCCAAGCCCTTTGATGGGTGCTTTCCCTACAGGGTGGACCAGATTGTGGGTCGGGGACCTGGAGACCGAAAGGCCAGGGAGAAGGGCGACAAGGGGCCCCCAGACGTGGAGGCGGTGGATGAAATCAGCATGATGGGGCGCGTGGTCAAGGTGGAGAAGCAGGTGAGCGCTGAGTGGACTTTGGCCGGGGCGGTGGAGTTCACTGGCCACCGAGAGGCTCTGGAGGGCTGCACTCCAGGGCACCCACTCAGGAGGCTCTAGCAGGACCTCTGCATTCCCTGCCCGGCCACACTCTGCCTCATGGATAAGCCCCGCTCTCAGAAAGCCCGCCCCTTCCTGCCAAAGGATCTTGGTAAGCTTGCCATCTCCTGCTGAGATGCAGGGTGCTACAATCTCAGATAAGTCCCCCTAAATTCCACCTATTCAGTTGTCTGTCTTTTGGACCATCTCAGCCAATTACAACTAAATGTCATCCCAGGAACCTGTCCTAGCTTCCCACCTTCATCCTACTATCCACAGGCCGGATTTCATCTTCCGGGTCTAGGCGACTCCTCGTGGTGAGGCCCCACGCGGGCTCCGCCCGCCACCGCTTGCGCCGGGGCCACGCCTCCTCCCCCCACAACCGGCAAAAACCCCGCCCCTGATGCAGCCACCCTGCCCCCTCCCTGGAAAACCCCACCCCTAGCCCAACCCCGACTCCCAGCTGTGCCCCGCCCCCAGGTGCAGTCCATTGAGCACAAGCTGGACCTACTGTTGGGCTTCTATTCGCGCTGCCTGCGCTCTGGCACCTCAGCCAGCTTGGGCACCGTGCAAGTGCCGCTCTTCGATCCTGACATCACCTCGGACTACCACAGTCCTGTGGACCATGAGGACATCTCGGTCTCCGCACAGACACTAAGCATCTCTCGCTCTGTCAGCACCAACATGGACTGAATGACTTCTGGGCAGAGTCGCACTGGGCCAGCCTCTAGGCCTTGCGCTTGAACCCTTCTACTGAGGCCTCCGGACTTCTACTTGAACTCGCTCCCTCCTGGGGAGAGAGGCCACACACAGTATTGAGCTGCCTGGGGTGGGGTGGGGGTGGGGGGCAAGAGACCCGCTGTGGGTGCCCAAGCACTGTCCCCACCCCAGGAGCGTGAGGTGCCAGGCCACACGGAGAGCAGCAGCAGCAGCTGCCCCACGGCCTCTGGGACCCTCAGAACCCTGCCCACTCCACCAAGGCCTGCCATGGCCCACGTGGTAGGGTCACTGCCCCAGGAGTGGGAGCAAGGTACTGGGGCCCTGGGCTCTAGCCCCTGGGCCCTGCTCAGCTTCCAGCTATGCAAGGTGAGGTCTGTGGCCTGCTCTTCAGACAGAGCAGAGAAGCCCTCCCGCCAAGTCCCCACCCCATTGGGGTTGGGCCCAAGGTGTCCCCACAGATACCCACAAAGCACAGGACCCTGCCTCAAGGCAGGTGGGCATCATATATGCAAACTATGTTAAATATGCAACTTTGGGGGCCCCCATGGGGTCTCCCTGCCCATCCTCCACCAGGAGTTGGGCTCCCAGCAGTAGCTGGTCTCAGGCTGTTTGGCCATGACCCCCTCCCCAATCCATGGCTTATCCCTGCCCCCACCAGGATGGGGCCTGTTTCTTCCCAACACTCACCCAAGGCCAGTGCCAGCTGGGCCTTCCTTTCCACCTGCAGGTGTCACCTGCCAGGACCATCCTCTTCCTGCTGGATGTTCATTCTCCTCTGGCTCTCCATATATCTTTGACCATTGGCAGGAGTTTCTGTGTTCTCCACAATCTCCCAGACAGTGTCCTATGGGTGGGTTGCACAAATATAATTCTCTGTTTTCTCAGATGTAGAGAAAGCCTCACACTCACACTGATGCCCACAAGCAGGCACAGCTGGAGATGTGAGCACAGGGACCCTCAGCCTTTCCTGAGTCTCTGCAGTCAATACTGGTGGGCTGGCATTAGCAGATCTCCACTCAGAGGTAGCCCTTGCCCCCTCTGTTCAGGAGAGGGAGCTTTAAAGTGAGCCCAGATCTTTCCAGGTCCAACCCCAGAGCTTTACCCACTCCCTTTCCTCAAAAACAGACTCCTCTGCAGCCCAGGAGCACTACTGCTTATTCTCTCTACCCTTGAGGGCTCCCCACAGTGTCCTCTCAGCACAACTCAGGCCTCTGGGGTCTGCACACCACCAGAGAGACCCCCGGTCCACTCCTTCCTAGTCACTCTTGACTCCCAGAGTGGACAGTAACACATCTCACAGCTTCACCAGCTGTGCGTATGGCTGTCGCCTGCACTGTCTGCTCCCCACTTTACTTGGCAGCCCATATACTGGCATAAGTGCCCATCCACTGCAAGTCCCCAGCACCACTTTTGTATCTGTACCCCTTTGTTCCCGGCAGGAGGGTGAGAGACAGTGGACTGAAGGCAACCCTCTGTGCAGTGCTAAGGAACAAGGGGCTGAGGCCAAGCTGCCTACTTCTCATACTGGGGACCTGCATGTACTAGCACCAGGGTTTAGATTGGATCTTGTTCAGCCCCATGGTGCCCAATCCTCTGCCCTAACATGTCCTCTGCATGTACCATCATGCTTTGAATAGAGCATCTCTTGGCTCATTTCACCTGCATTGCACTGTCCCCAGAGAGCCACCCTTCTTCTCCCTCAGAGACAGCTGTGGAGAAGGTCAGGGAAATAGGATTACCCTGTGACCAAAGGACATATGGGAAGAGGTCCTCCTTCCATGATTGATGTTCCCCCAAGTCCTTTGATATGCAAGTACCTCACTTTGTTAACTTATTAACTTATTGGTTTCATTAAAGTTTTCAGTAGAAGGTGGCTGGTCTTGGTTTTATTCAGTGGGATGAAGTTGGTCTGAGGGTAGGGACAAGCAGATTAGGACTAGTTAGGGCTTTTTGTTGAAAAAGGCACAATCCCATGTGAGTTCAGGATGCAGTGACCACTCCGAGACCTGAAGGAATATAGGTAGAGGTTGGGGCTATCAGACCTCACAGCTTGCGAGAGGGAGCCCTGGAGTATTGAAGAGAAGGCTCTCCAGATGCTGCAACTAAACTGAACGTCAAACCGTTAGTGATATTCCAGTCTCCGTATGAAATCATAAGGGAGAGAAAGAAGGAATGAAAAGGTTTATGCACTCATGTGCATAAACACCCATCAAGCAAAGAAGAAAACTATCTATCCACAATAGGCTTTCTGCTGGCAGCAGCACCATAGTTGGTGTATATATATAATTTTCTTCTTCCATTGCCCTCTGTTTCCTTCGCCCTCAGCCAACACCTCCACTGCTTAGGTTTCTTTATAAGATCAAATGGCCCATGCCATCATTTTTGAGGTTCTGAATCCTTCATGATCCTACATGGTTTTGAATATTGTAGCTTTTCATTAACTTTTTCTCTCGTGCATGGAAGTGCAGTTGTCTCTTGGTATCCATAGAGGGTTGGTTCCAGGCCCCACTGCCATAAACAAAATTGTAGATGCTTAAATTCCTAGTTAAAAATGATGTACTATTTGCATACAACTTACAGGCATCCTCCTGTATACTTTAAGTAATCTCTGTCTTCCAATAGTTAATATAAATTAGATGCTATATAAGTAGTTGTAGTAATGTATGTTCAGGAAATAATGAAAAGCAAAAGTCTGCACATATTAAGTCCTCAGACAGTTGAGTTTCTGGATGCAGAGGGAGGAGGACACTGCACTAAGATAATAGCAACCATCCAGTTTTTCCTTGGTAAGGAAGGGCAGATATGCAGCCAGTGCATGAGCTCTCTCTTTGCCTTTTGGTTTAGTGGCATGAGAAGCCAAAAATGACCAATCAAATGCATTAAAGGGTGTAAGGTTGGCAAGAAGCATTTAGCAAGGCACAGGAACTAGGGTGTTGGTCTTCATGGTAAATGTATCAGCTACTGGACACAGAATGTGTAAAGATCCAGAGGCACCAGAGACCATGGTAAAGAAAGAAATCCTGTGACAAGGTTCAGAGAACAAAGGAGAGTGTGGTATAAGATGAAACTTAAGAATTAAGGATTGTGGGCCTGGGAGATAGCTCAGTGACACAAGCGCCTGCCTGGCAAGTGCAAGGTCCTGAGTTAGATCCCCAGTGTGTGTGTGTGGGGAGAATTAAAGGATGAGAATTGGAAAAATGCTAAGATGTAAATCAGTGATAAAATATTTACCTAGCATGTGCAAAGCCCTGGGTTCAACCCCCACTACTGAAAAAAAAAAAAAAAAAAAAAACAAAAAAAAAACTGTAGGACTTCACAAATCATTCCAAAGAAAGAGCACTCACTAGTGAGGGCAGGTGGGAGCCAATGAAAGCTTCAGAGTGGGAGTCAAACTGAGATAGATTTGCATTTTAATAAGTTTTCTTCGTGGCATGACAGATGAAGTTAAGGGAGAAAGCCTGATTGTGGGGATACAAGGCAGGAAGTTGCTGAAGTAATCCAAGTAGATGTTAACAAACTTGAAAAAGTCCCATGGCATTTTACAAATTAAGTAAATGTCTACTGAACACCTGCTGTATGTCAGACCCTGGCTCAGCATAGTATACAGGATGAACAGGCGCAGAGGACTGAAGTTTGGCCCTGAGGTCATCCAGCCCCTGGGGGAGCCAGATGCAAAATTAACCAATGCACAACTCACTGTTTCTTTTCTAAGTTTGTCTGGCTCAGCAAGGAGAATTTGCAGATGGCTATGGGAGTCCCCAAACTGTCATCAAATATGGCCTTGAGAGCAGATATGATTTTAGCTAGGTGTGTCATTTATCTATTGCTATGTAACAACTCACTGTAAAACTTAGCAACTTAATGAATTTTTATTTTTCTCGATTCTGTGGGTCAGCAGTTTAGGCTGAACTTGGCTGAGTACTTCCCCCTGGTATCATTGGGGATCTCTAATGTGATCATACACCGCTGGCATCTTGACTGACACTGGGTGGTGGCTATGGTGGTGTGCATCTCATCTGTTCCTGCGCTGGCAGCATGATCCATGCTATAGTGGTGTTGAGTGCTGGAACCCTTAAAAGGTGGAATCTAGTGAAAGGTAATTAAGTCATGTGGGCCCTCTCAGAAGGATTAGTGAAGGCCTCAGGGGTTGTATTTGTTCCCTCAGAATATAATTGTGATTAATTGAATTGTCATAAGGGACCCTGCATCCCTGGTTCATGGGGGCTGCCCACCACTTGCACATGCTCCCAGCACTGTGATGCCATCCATAATGAGGCCTTTGCCACATCTGAGCAGGTGATTCTATGCCTTTGACCTAAAACTGTGAGCTAAAAAAATCTCTTCTTCGCAAAGTGCTCAGCATCAGATATTCTGTTACAGCAACACAGAATGGACTAAAACAACAGCTTAAGGTTGTTTTACATGCCCAGGGTTTGGTGGATCCTACTTGGTCCACAGGCAGGCTTGCTTATCTCTGCTCCATGTGGCTCCTCATGCTCTAGTAAATTACACCAGTCTCCTTCATGGACAAGGCCAAAGCAGAAGCTCTGAGGGCCCAACTCAGATGCAGTAAGAGCCCCCTGGGATGACAGTATTGGCTGCCAAAACAAATACCACACGCTGGGCAGCTTAACAGAAGTTTCTTTCCACATAGTTCTAGAGGCTGAAGTCTAAGGCCGAGGTATTAGAGAGCGGATTTCCTTTCAGAGTCTTTCCCTTTGGCCTGTAGGTAGCTGTTTTCTTCGGTGATCATTACATGATCATCATTCTACACATACATGTGTCTGGCATCTTGCATTTCACTTACGAAAATGCCAGTCATATTGGATTAGGGGCCGTGATAACAAGCCTACTTTATCTTCATAACCTCTTATTTCTGCATGTAGACGCACTTTGAGATTCTGGAAGTTAGATCTTCAACATAATTATTTTGGAGGGTCACAGATCTGTCCATAATGCCTGGAGTGAAGTCACCAGCCTGGAACCCTTTCTGCTCTCAGTGTACAGGGGCTGAGGACTGCTCTGGGGGCTTATTCCACCCCTACTGGGCACAGGTGGATGTGTGCAGACATCCTATAGTTTGGGGGCCTTATTTTTTAGCTCCAGGGCCTTTGCTAAATTAACTTATCTGAAGCCCTAATATATAAAATACGAAAAATGCAATCACAAAATGAAAACCTCCCAGAGGTGACTTCAATTCTCATGCTACATACACATTAAGCACATACCCAGGATGCTGTCAGATCAGGTCTAACTCACTGGGAACTCATTTGAACTATTGCAGTGGTTTATACTCTGTCTGAAGGTCTTTCTTTCTCCTCAGCCATGCCATGACTACTCTGGGGTGGCATGTACCTGCCTATTTGTCTCAGTAGGTTTCTTGGAATCACATTCTGGGGACAGAGAATGGTATGCAGAACATTTATGGAGGGGCAAGCTCAGAAGACGCATACATATAGAAGGCAGAGTTGGGCAGAGGGAAAACTCCCCTGACATGGGGTGATGTCACTTGAGCCACTGGTTGACACTCAGGAACTCTAGAGCCTGGAGAGAACTGCAGAGTTGTACTAAGATGAAAGGAGGACGCAGTCCTTGGTTTGTGAGCAGCAGCCAGTTCCTGGCAGTCCCCAATCCCAGTGAGCTTCACAGCTGTGTCCCAGTAGCAGTGAGTCCCAGCAGCTGGGGAATGGACTCATGGGCCCTGCAGGGGCAAGGTGGGCAACACCGTGGAGCTCCAAGGCGTTCAATGCACCATCACAACAACTTGGGGCTTTTTTACAGGATTTATTTTGGCCAGCCAAACGTGGAAGGAAAGGACAGTATTCTTGTCGTACAGAGACCCTAAGAGGCATGCTAATTTATGCCAGACCTCACAATGCCTCCTTCCCCAGGTAAGACAGCTGTTGCTTCTTCACCTGGGATCCAAAATACAGACAGGTAAAGCAGACCTGGACCCAGACCAGCAGTCCAGCCTGCTGTAGTCAGCATCAGCTGAATGGCAGTGGAATCGGAGACCTAGAAGTACGAAATGATAGTTGGCTTTTCAGCTACTAAGATTTTGGGTTGGTTTGTTTTATAGCATTTCACAAGACCTGAGTGGCATAGCTAGTAAGATCAATTTTGCTGGAAGTGATGAAGTAGGAGATTTATCTTGCATATCACAAAGGATTTTCTTAAATTCTCAGTAAAATCTTTGGTTTTTATTCCAAATGGCTTCTCTGGGCTCTAGATGCCCTCCCTCCCCACCCCCTACTCCACTTCCCTCTCCTCTCTTATCCCCTCCCTTTCCCTCTCCTCTTCTCCCCTCTGCTCTCCTTGACCCCTCCTCCGCCTTTCCCCAAGTAGCCTCTAAAATGGGTGAGAAATGGAGGATTTCCTGGACAAGGTGGGAAAGGTGGTTTTGTGTTTTTTTTGTTTTTGTTTTGTTGGGGTTTTTTTTTTGGCAAAAAGTTGTTCTAGGACAAACATCCTGAAGCTTGAGAGCCAGGCTTCCTTGCCTGCTCAGAAAGGGATGCGTTTGCCCTTACCTTTCCCACACTCTGGTTAGGACCCCCTTGAGTATGATATCTGGACCCTAACCGCTTCCTTTCTGGATTCTCACAGGTATGACTGTGGCTTTGTAGGACAAGAAACATGTTCTTGTTTGTATCCTTACTGTCCCCAACTCAAGGCTGGATACATGGACAATTAATAAATGCTGATTGGAAGGCCACATGCAATTGGGATTTCCACCAAAGAATGATCGTTGTCCCTGTTATGTTTTCCTTTGGCCACCAGGCGTCAGTAAAGACCTTGGACTGGAGTTGCAGCACTAACTTGAAGCCAGGAAAC